TCCCCGGATACATTTATCTTGGTACAAAATGTTAATGTCTAATTTCTGCTTCTTATAATCTGCTTATTCAAGGATGTAGTTGGAGGTTTTATAAGCTGCCTCCTCTGGAAGCTCGGGGCTGATCCGAAAATACCCTGCGTGGTAGAGAGTCAGTCACCGGCCGGCTAATAAAGGCTCATAATTAATCTCAATTGGCTCCGTGGGTCTTAGAATCGTTCGCACCATAACAGTACCTGGTAATGGTTGTGCATTAAGAGTTACTGAAGTTTTTTTTCTTTTCCCGTGATGTTCAATATAGAGATTCAAGAGACATCCCAATCTGTGTAAACAATAAATAAACAAGCAGATTACTGTTCCAAATTTCTGAGGTTGACTTGGGGTTTATATATGTATACATATATATATGTATGTGTATTATATATATATATACACATACATATATATGTATATACAAACATATAAATTTTTTTTTTGAGCAACTACTCTAGGCTAGGCATTGTAGGAGATGCTGGAGACAGAACAATGAACAGGACACTAATCATTTCTGCTTTCAAGAAGCACACAGTCTGTAGGGGAATAAACAATTAAACATACAGTTACAATACTGTGAAGTGCATATCACGATAGATCCATAGGACACTAATAGAACACATCAGCGGAATATGTAATGCAGGGAAGTTATCCCAGAGAATGGGATCACAAAGCTAGAATGTGGAAGAAGACTAAGTGTTGTCCAAACAAAATGTGTGTATGTGTATGTTTTTGTGTACGTGCATGGATAAGGTGGGGAATGGGGGATGGAAGAGTGCTCCAGGCAGAAGGAATGACACAGCAAAACATGATTCATTGAAAATGTACAAGGAGTTTAATTTAGCCAGAACACAGAGTGCAAGAGATGAGGTTGGAAGGATAATCAGGGCCTAATGATAAGATAATAAACACTTGTTAAGGGCAGTGAGCGGCATATGAAAGTCGGAATGACTCAGCCAGGTTTGCATCTTAGGAATACCACTTTGGCTGCAGTGTGGAAGAGTCTGAGGGGGTAAAAAAATGAAGGCAGGAAAGCCAGTTTGGCAGCTGATATGATATACGATAATTCAGAAAAAAAGACGAAGATGATGACCTGACCACAATAGTGGTGGTAGAGATGGAAAAAAGTGGATAATTTTCAGGGATGCTTAAGGAGTGGGAAGTGAGGGAGAGGAAGCTTAATTGGTGTTGTCATTGTTTAAAAAGGAAATGGCAGGGGAGGGGGAAATCCTAGTATACAGGGGAAGATAATGAGTTCAGGGTCAGTCATGTTTCACTTGGCATTCTCCACCTGGGCACACCTACGTGGAGTTATCTTGTGTATGTTACATATGCTGGCCTAAACCTCAGGAGAGACATCTCGGCCAGAGATGTAAATATGGGACTTCTCAAAACATGTGAGATGAGGAAGCCACGTAAGTCCAAGAAAACAACGTGTATGTAGAGTAAGAAGATAAAACCAGGCTAAAACTCCAAAACAAGCATGTTTAAAAGATGAGCATGAGGATCACACAATAAAACTGAAAAGAGGTCAAGGGGTAGAGAAAATATAAGAGGATATAGTGTTGCTAAAGGAGGTTAACAATGTTACCTGTAGCTGCAATGAATCCAGGCTGGTTTTTAAATTTTTATTTTAGTGTGAATAGTACCATACAACAGTTCTCAAACTTTTTGGCTGTACAAATTATTGTACACACTGACAGATTATTGAGGACTAGAAAGAACTAATAATGTGGCTACATCTATTAATATTTTGAAATTAAAACAGAAAATTTAAACATGTATTAATACATTAAAAATAAACTCATTACTAGTTAATTTATGTTTATGAAAATAACTATATTTTACAACCAAAATTAGTGAGAAGCATGGCATTATTTTACATTTTTGCAAATCTCTTTAAGGTCAGGCTTTATGGAAAAGAGCTGCATTCTCATATCTTACTCTGCCCTCAATCTATTTTTCTATCACAATTTACAAAAAATTCAACTGGAGTATCGGAGAACAAGAGTGAAAAAAGTAAAAGCATCTTCAATAATTATGAAAATAGCTTGATCTTATGGACCCCCTGAAAGGGATCTTTAGGGACTTGGAGACTATACTTCTAGAATTATTGCACCAGAGCAGAAGAGTATGACAATATCATGAACCTCTTAAATAAACTCCTGAAGCTATAGCCTATATAGACTTGATTGAAGTTTCAAAAACTATTTTCTGAGAGGTTGAGGTTGTCCGCTTGACATCACCTAACAGGAATGGACTGGAGAACTTTCATTAGAGTAATTTCCTCAACAAGTATCTACTTAGCATGTATAACATTCCAGGAACTATTCTAGACATAGAGGTAATAACAAACCAAACAGACAGAAATCCTTGCTTTTATGAAGCTTCTCTTCTCTTTGGGGATTAGACAGTGAACAAATAAAGTGGTAAATAAAGTAGTATATTGGAGGGTGGTGCTATGCATTAAATAATGCAAAGAGGTATAGAAAATGTTGGCGGGATCTGCAAATTTCAGTAGTATGCACAGCGCCTCATTAACTCAGCGCCTCGCCAAGTACACCAGGAAAGCACAGAGAGGGAGGTCAGGGACCGGGAGGAGGACGAGCCTGCTAACTCTGAAATCACACGCGGCTCTCCCCATCTGCGCTTGCGCAAAGGCAGAAGCGCTCCCCGGAAAGACGACTGGGACTCTGGGTTCGCGCAGACGCAGAGCTACCTGAAGGCGGAAATGGGGAGTCCGGGGCTTCTGCAACCTAAACAAGCCGTGTAAAAAGGTGGCAGTCGCCGAGCAGCGCGCATGCGCGAGCAGCTCTCCCTGGGAAAGAGAGTCAGACCGGGCGGCTGGGCTCGGAGCGGAGCAGGGTCAGGATGGACGAGGACGTGCTGACCACCCTGAAGATCCTCATCATTGGCGAGAGTGGCGTGGGCAAGTCCAGGTGAGGCGGGTCTGCGGGCGGGGATGGAGCGGCGGGGCTCTTTCTGCCTCCGTGGCCGCGGTCTCCTGGGCCGCGACGAG